CTGAACGTGATCTATGCTAATGGAATGGAAGGGTTCATCACAGGGAAAATTCCTCAACCAACTGAATACATTGATTCAAATAGAATAGTAAGAAATCTTGAGTTTACCAACTAAAACAGATGCAATCGGCTAATCATGAGCTAGTTCTATGCTACATTGTCTGTAGAGCCTCTCGGACACATAGATGGTGTTGAGACTGCTTGTGAAATTTGTGAATCTCTGCGGCTGAGGTATGAGTCATCAACAACTCCTAGAGTAATGATATTAAGGATCCAACTCCAACAGCTCAAGAAAGGAGGTGACACCGTCGCTCAATACATAGCCAAATTGAAGTTTCTGACAGACAGCCTAGCTACAGTAGGAGAACCGGTGAACTACAGAGATCAACTAGCTTATCTGTTAAAGGGGTTACCGGCTGAATATGACTTGTTTGTAACCTCCGTTTACAATCGTGCTAATCAGCCCAGTATCGATCAAGTTAAAAGTCTACTCCTAGCATTTGATCATCGTATGGAGTCTCGTAATCAAGCCGAGTTCATTTCATTGCCACAAGCTTAGTTTAGCTCCTTAAGTCTTGGACAAAAGGGTTACAAGACTTCAATGCAGAGTAAGGGGGATATTAATCAGCAAAGCTTCAGTGGCCATGGCGGAACTTTCCCGATGATCAATGGAAATTTCCCAGTGATGCAAGGCGGACGATCTCAGGGATGAGGCTGGAGCCCTAACTCGTGTGGGCCAAACTCAAGCAGGCCATCAGTCAATAATGGATTCAGTGTATTGGGCTGAAACCCTCAGAGCAACTCACGTGGGCCACGTCCAAATGGCCGAGTAAGATGCCAATTCTGTTCCAAACTGGGTCACACCGTAGCCCAGTACTGCCATATTTTAAACTCCCTGGGCCGAGTCAATCAGGCCCAAGCCTACTTCAGTGATTTGGATTTCGGGCAAGCTTATGGGTCAAATCCAAATCAAGTTAATCAAATCCCTTACCTGAACGATCTAGGGCTAGGGTTCCTGACTGTTGCTCCTGAAACTCGTCGTCCACTCAATCACCCTCAAATGTCTCCTCCACAAGGCTTGTCGGAAGACTGGTTCTTGGATACGGGGGCCACTCATCAGCTCACACCAGTCTGGACAATCTAAACTCTGCTATACCATATCAAGGTAAATCCAAGGTGATGGTAGGTAATGGCAATCTGATTTTGATTCATCATGTAGGTTCAAAACATCTACCTTTTCTTCCAAAACCTTTACATCTTAACAACATCCTTCATGCTCCGAAAATGTCCAAGAATCTTTTAAGCGTTTCTTGACTTTGTTCAGATAACAATTTGTCTATCGAATTTGATGCTTCCTCTTTTCGTGTCAAGGACCGGGAAACCAGTCAACTCCTACTTCAAGGGATGTGTGAACATGGACTCTACAAGCTGATAAGTCCACTTTCGAGCCATTCGAAGCCCAACTCTCTCTTCAACAAACCTCCGATGTACTCTGTTTTTTCTTTTCCTACTCGTAATAGTTATGTTAGGTCTTATGTTACAAAGTTTAAATCACTATCGGATGATGATAGACATGATGTTGATAAACCCCTTAGCTTCTCTGTTGGAATGTTTAACGATAATTCTGTTTGGCATGCTAGATTAGGTCATCCCAGTCCTGAGGTTCTGTCAAAGTTATCTCATATGTACTGCCCTGAAATTCCAGCTTATAATGAATCTGTGTTTTGCGAATCTTGTTTGCAAGCTAAGCATAGGAAGTTACCTTTTGAAAATTCTGAAAATAGAGCTGAAAACCCCTTTGATCTTATACATATAGATCTGTGGGGTCTTTCACCTATTAACTCTATAAATGGAAATAGATACTTCCTGCTGATTGTTGATGATAACACAAGGTACACGTGGATCTATTTCCTTCAAACTAAAGACCAAGCCTTGTAAGTATTTCAGTCTTTCCATAAAATTGTTCAAACTCAATACTCTAGAGTGATTGAAACTGTTAGGTCCGACTAGGGAGGTGAATTTAGGACTGTTCATAAGTTTCTAAATTCTGTAGGCATAAAACATGAAGTTTCATGTCCCTATACACCTGAACAAAATGGTAGAGTGGAAAGGAAAAATAAAAATATTGTAGAAGTTGGTTTGTCTTTACTTAATCACAGCAATGTACCTAAAAGTTTTTGGCCCTATGCTTTCTATGAAGCTGTTCATATCATAAATCACCTGCCATCGAAACTTATAAATAATCAAACTCCCATTGAACTTCTAAGCAAAAGAAAACCTACATTCAAAACATTTAAAACTTTTGGTTGTTCCTGCTACCCTTTGTTAAGACCCTACATAAAACAAAAGTTGGATAATAGAACCACTGAGTGTGTCTACCTTGGTCAGAGTAGTCATCACAAGGGATATTTATGCTTGGACAGAGCCTCAGGAAAAGTCTACATATCAAGAGATGTTATTTTCAATGAATTCTCTTTCCCTTTTCAAAATTGTAAATCTGGTTCAGAGAAGCATTCAAAATCCACCTTATCAAATTTCAAACTTCTTCCCATTTGTGGTCCTAATGTGTTTGCCTTAAAACAACACTCCAATTCTGCATTGATTCAACCTTCACTCAGTCGTGAACTTGAACTTCAATCTAGATCATTTCAAAATAGACCTTGTTCTGAAAATTCTCCAAATCCAAACTCAACTCCCTCGACTCCTGAAACAACATCTACTTCTTTTGCTGTACCTGTGGTTTCCACTATTCCTCTATCAGATAACTCTCCCTCTTCACCACCCATAATCAAAGAGTTAAACTTACATGATGTCAGATTGCATTCCTCACCTATCCTAGATGCCTTGCTAGATAAAGGTGGAAACACCCATCATATGGTTACCAGATCCAAGGCTAGTATTTTCAAACCAAAGGCATATTTTACTCTATCAAATGACCTACCCATTGAGTCTTCTGATATTCATGAAGCAAAGAGACATAAAATTTGGTATGAAGCCATGTTACAAGAATTAAGGGCCTTAAATCAAAACATGACCTGGAAATTGGCACCAAGGGATCCCACTCAAAAAGTTATAGGCTGCAAATGGGTATACAAAGTTAAGTTAAAAGCTGATGGAACTCTTGAAAGATGTAAAGCCAGACTGGTTGCAAAGGGGTTTCATCAAATCCCAGGAATTGATTTCAATGAAACCTTCAGTCTAGTTGTAAAGATCACAACAATTAGAATAGTATTGTCCTTGGCACTTAGTTTTAAATGGAAAGTAAGACAGCTTGATGTGCATAATGCATTCCTTAATGGGGGACTTAAGAGAATCAGTTTTTATGGCACAACCACCTGGATTTGAAGATAAGACATTCCCTAACCATGTCTGTAAACTACAGAAAGCAATCTATGATTTAAAACAGAGTCCAAGAGCCTGGTATACTAAGTTAAGATGTTATCTTTTAAGCTTGGGATATCAGAACTCTAAAGTTGATTCTTCAATGTTCTATAAGCATCAAGAAGGAAATCTGATCATCATACTTGTCTATGTTGATGACATACTGATAACTAGATCTGATAAGGAAGCCATTGAAGGAGTCATAAGTCAATTAAGTAATGCCTTCTCTTTAAAAGATTTAGGAGATATCTCCTATTTCTTAGGAATTCAGCTTACTCGCAAGGATGATACTCTACATTGTTGCCAAGAAAAGTACATAACTAAGCTGCTAGAAAAATCTGGAATGTCAACCAGTAAACCCATTTCCACTCCTATGTCTCCTACTGCACATCTGTCTTTGTATGATGGAGATGATATCTCTGACCCCACAGAATATAGGAGTATAGTTGGGGCATTACAGTATTAAACGTTAACCACACCTAATATAAGTTTTGCAATAAATAAAGCATGTCAGTTTCTTCATGCTCCTACAACTACACACATAAAAGCAGTCAAGAGAATTCTCAGATATCTCAAAGGAACTCCAAGTCATGGAATAACTTTCATAGCAAACAAAGAGTTGAACATCATTGGGTATACTGATTCTGACTAGGTAAGTTGTCCTGATGACAGGAAAAGTACGAGTGGGTATTGTATCTTCTTAGGTTCAAATCTCATCTCTTGGGCTTCTGGAAAGCAAAAGGTTGTTTCACGATCCAGTATTGAAGTTAAGTACAGAGCTGTAGCGAATGCAACAATAGAGATAATATGGATTGAATCTGTATTGAGTGAGCTGAAAGTTCCCTATAGAACTCCACCTACTATCCTATGTGACAACATGAGTACTGTCCAACTTGTTGCAAATCCTATTCTACATGCAAGAACAAAACATGTAGAAATTGATTACCACTTTGTTAGAGACAGAGTTGTTAAAGGTATCCTGGCAGTTCATCAAGTTCCTGCATCAGATCAATTGATAGATTCTCTCACTAAACCAGTTTCAACTCAAGTTTTTCAAAATATTAGAAGCAAGCTCTCAGGGCTTCATAGCCCTGCCAACTTGAGGGAGAATGTTGGAATGTATAGCAATTCTTACTCAATAGACTTGACTACAGCTGATCCAAACTCAAGGAGGTGCACAGATTCTCAATGAAGTTATCTGTACAATATATTCCTTTCTGTAACAAACTTGTACACGTCAATTTTCTATTTTTTATTTTCCTATTTATTTGTTTTACTTGTAAATATAAAGGCTTGCTCTGTATAGTGGAAAGGTACGAGAATAAGAACTTGTAGCTGTTATTCTTTTGATAATATTGAGCATACAGAGTTCACCGGCAATGGCTTCTTCTCTTCAATTCTTTATCCTCTCTTCCTTACCTTCTAAATTCCTAACAACCAGGCGAGTAAATTACTTGAGAATAGACCAAACTACGAACTTAGTTTGATCGAGGCCTACAAACTTTAAACCGTTTCAATTAGGTATTGATTCTTACATACCCAATTAAGATAATGCACGATGAAACCTCTCCGAACTACAAATTCCATACAGTGATTGCTCAATACACATTTACAAGCGCATTAACAAGAGTTCCCGGTGGAGTCTTCATCGGCATCTCTGCTTGTTTTCTTACTAAAGGTTGCGCTTGGGGGAGCTTCAATGCTCAATTCACTCTCATTCTTCAACTCTGCTACTTTTTGTTCTTTGCTCTTTCCCCAAAGCACGCTGTAGAGACTTGCCACCAACAACATCCCACCAACAACACTACGTATTCAAGAAGACAAGAAGATGGTGACAAATATTAAAATATTTAAGAATAAGAATATTTGTAAGTAAACCATATATTTTATACATAGAGATTTATAGAAAGTAGGACATCAGCATCAATGCTTTTCCACCTTGAGAAAGTTAGAATTTGCTTTTCAAAGCATAAAAATTGATGCATCTTTGAAATGGAAATTAGTTTAACAGAACACTTGTTACCCAATTGTTATTTTCAAATATTATACCCATCACTGATCATCCCTTACATAGAAAAACACACAGGATGGGGAAAAAATTGAAATAATATTATATGTTGGTTCGGAATGTGAATTTAAAGAAGTTAATCAACTTAATTACCTTCCTAAACTGACAGTCTCCCCTAGTAGAAACATGGAGCAGAAGATTGTTAAGATCAACCCCGCCGGTGTCCACATGGCTTGGAACACTGGCCCCTTCTTCTCAAGCAACCACGCTTGTATGTAATACCCGACTCCTGTCACTATAGTTCCCTGTCATACATACAGCATACGAGTTTTCCATACCTTAATAATCCATTCGCATGATATGAATACTTGTGAACATGTTCAAGAATCTCTAAGGAAATCAACCACGTCTGGGTCTTCTATAAATTCATTATATACTGCACCAAATAATTTAAGAAAAAAATAGGAAATTGCAATACTTAAATTGATGTTTGCTTACACTATAAGCTACGGCTGCAGACCCTAGTTTCCAGCCCAACTTCCATTGAGAAGGGTTCCTTTCTATTGCAATAGCTACCAGAAATGACTGAATCGCACTTACAATGCATTGAAGGCTTGTGAAGGCCAGCTTAGAAGGATACTCTTCCAAGACTCGAGTCTGATCTTTTTCCCAAATACAAATAATAAACAATGAGAAAATACTTAAAAGATGTTTCAGTTGATGATATGCCAAATCAATTGAAGAGTTGGAGGGGTGATTTTTGAAATTGGAAGAACTAGTCTCAAATTGGATAAGCAAAAACTAAGTTTTACACCTGAAGAAACATATCTTGAATTGAACTAATCTTAATTTCTTTTCCATTTTTGTTTTATTTTTTGTCAATGAAATGGATTGCAGAAATCAGAAAATTGGAAATTGAAGAAAACAGAAAGGAGGCATGATTAATAGGGAAACCAAACAACACCTGGAAAACAATCCAGAGAGCCCAACAGATGGGGCAAACAAACATAAGAACACAACCCTTTAACCATGATTGTTGGGAATATGGAGTGTGATCTTGGCTACTACTACTTAACAGGGGATGACGAAGAAAGAGTTTGAAACAGGGTCCTCTGTACAAGGCAAGTATCACCACCCCACCGAGGCAGAATACTATACCTCCAGCTTTTGCTACTCCACCAACTGTCCTCAACCTCAACTTCTCCATCCTGCATTACTTCCATATCAGTTCAAATATATGGAACAAATCATTTAAATACTCAAACAAAACACTTAACTTTCCCCGAGCAAGGAAGTTGATCATTTTAAGGCCATATCATTCAAAAAAAAGAAATGACAATTCATTAATATTTGAGATGTACCTGAGGATAAGTGCCAGAAAAAATGTGATCACAGGGAGGGTATTAGTGATTGCAGCAGCCATAGTTGGGGAAGTATAAACAAGGGCTAAGCCATTTGCATTTAATGGTACAGTAATTCTGAAAGGTAAATCCAAAAGATTAACGCTGATCCATATCCATTCCTATATCAGATAAATATAATTGCATTTGAAGCTATTAATGATTGAAAGCATACCCTACTAAAGAGAGCATAAAAATCTTGCTTAACGTCACAACTGAAAGCCGTGATGCCTTCTTTCTGCAATGATAGAATCAGTTTCAATAGTTACATGTCAAACAAGAAAATTGAAGGAGATAACAGTAAAACCAAATTAGAAGATGAATTACATTTACCCTTCAAATATTATGGCAAAAGGAAGTAGTAAAATGCTTCCAATGGCTTGCCTGTAGAAGACAAAAACAAAACTGCTCATACCATCATTGAAAGCAGCCTTGGCGAGTACAAACATGGCTGCAGATATGAACTGCAGTGAAATTGCTGCAACGTATGGCTTCTTTTCTCCCATTTTTCATTTGAGATTAGTTCATGCCCAAAACACAGACCATTCTATATATAGGTTCATATGTGTGTGTGTGTGTAATAAATGTATATTATTCCTGCCCACTAAACTAATAGCGTAATGAACAAAAATAAGTGCAATAAAAAGTGTCTATATTGCATCGATTCTCTGGAAATGATTCAAAAGGAGGGGAAAAAAATGGGCACCATAATTTCAGACAAAAAAGGACATTTTTTACCCTTTAAATATGGTCTTGCATCTGTGAAAGGACAAACAAAAGGATATGGAGATGATAGTAACCTACAAATAAAAAAAGAAAAATATAATATAGAAGGTTCAATTTATTTTTTTCCATTTGGAGATTTTCAATGCTTTTTTTAAGGGAAAATGATGAACAAGCCAATTTGAGTTGACACTAGTGAATATAAAAATGGGTAAAGCCCAAAAGATCTATCTCCAATATCAGTGTCAGTACCTCTACCACTTGCATCTGCATTACCAGAAATGCCCTCTCTCCCACTCAAATTAGAATCATTGCGAATTAGAAGTGGTTGCCATTGAGAGCAAAATGTATAGATTGACAACTAAAACAATGAATACTACTACCCATGTCTCTGGCTATGCTCCAACCATCAGATTCTGCATTTCTTCCATTTTCTTTTTCTTTTAAAGTAAAATATGATGAATTAACAATCGAGGTTTCTAAAACATTTCACAAGCATAATAGAACCAGTGAATCCTTTTCTCTTGTTTGTTGACCATTTTGAAGTTATTTTTCCTCTAAAACGTTTTTTACATTTTCAAATTGCTTTCTTACATCATTTTCAAAAACTTATTTGAGTGACTTAATGCGCCTGCATTAGGCTAGTGGTGACTCCTCTTTTACTTAAGGCCTATTTTCTAAGAATCCGGCATGAGTCGAATTTCAAGCTTTGGATTTTAATTGTTCCCTTCTTTCTTTCGAGATAAAAGGAGTTAATCAAAATTCAGGTGGTGACATTCAATATGGTAATTAAAGGCATAGGCTAAAGAAGATTGACGATCCTTTTGGCGAGGTTTCTTTTGCAAGCCAAGTGAATTCCCTTCTAGTTATGTGGCCAGAGTTTTTCGGAGTTGTGCCCACTATCTTGAGTGGGAGAAAAGACAAAGGGGTTAGCTACAAAGTCCAGTGAGGGAAACACAAGTTTAACAATACAAGTGGAAAATATCGAATCAATTATTAAAACAATGATATCACATGGTCAACGAAAATATCGAATCAAGTTTTATAATGACAAGTGGAATTGAAAAATGATTCCCTTTTCTGAAAGTATATGATTCATACTATGATATGAAGTAAGTTCAGAGTTCTCAATTTCCAATGGCATGAAATACTTGTAATAATTGGTTGTTCCCAGATACCACATTCGACAGCAGCTCCATTTCGGGTCCTTGAGTTTCCATTTGAAATGACACTTTCCTTCACCCAAGTCCACAACCACTCGGCATGGAATTTCAACTAGGCAAAACTGGTTTGCACAGGCTAGCTCGGCCAAAATATAGGGGTGCCCAAAACGAACTCCAGAGCCAGCAATTAACAAGTGCTAAGGTCGCATTATGCCAAACCATCGAGCCTAGTTATTTCATTGCTCTTTAGATAAAAATATCTGGTAGCATGTTCGTATAATACAGTATTATCCTCGCTGGATTAAAACTATGTACAGTCCCAAAACAAAATTCGTAGATGCTTAAAACGTATCAGGTAACAAGTCCAAATTTTCAAAACATAGCCGGAGTTTTATTCGTATCAGAAGTACTTGGCACGATAGATGAAAGCTTCTCATTCTTGAGCATGGCATAAGCTGTAAGGTGGAACCATGAACACCCATACACCCTCTTCCACATTACCTCCTGCAGGCGCTATGGACTGGCTAAAACTTAATCTGAGAAAATTGTATTTGGCAAACGGTTACCAAGGAACAACATTTTGAGGAATAAAACAATAAATGAAATGTCAGAAGTTCAACGCAAATGCAAGTAGAAGTTCACTGAGTCAAATTCTTCACATTAGCTGACTTGTATATTCAAATCCGTGCACTGAGTTGTATATAGAAGTAGGCTTTCTATGAGAAGAGGCTAAATGAAAATACAGCCAGCCTAAGGGTTCGACAGGTTTCTTCGTTTTTCAAAACTAGACAGCCCTTCACAAATTACCATTAAAAACTACGTAAATTTTCACCACACAAGGGCCCCAGTACATAAAACCTTCAAGTAGGCCCTTGTACTAAAGAGTTAAACCTTTAAACATCTAAAAATGAATTGCGTCTCAGTTCTTTCAATTGTTACAATCAAACCCTTGAAGATATCAATTGCACCCTTGAAGTACAAATATTTCCAGTAAAGTCTTGAGTCTTACCAATTAAGCCCTCGAACTCTAAATTCTTACTCCCTAGTTCTTCAGTTCGGTCATTATGCCTTTTAATTTATTCAATTAGGTCCCTAGACCTTAATAAACAGGCACTAAGTTTTTAAATATACAAAAATCTACCCTAAGCCTTCATAAATTACAAAAACAAATCATTGAACTAGCAATTTCTTGGAAAAGGCCATCCTTTTCCTCCTCTCCAATGTCTCCGATTCATTCTCACCGTCATTGCTCCTTGGCAGTGACAAACCCCTTACTTTTTCTTCTTTCTTTTTTTTTTCTTTCTTTCCTTCATCTCCCTTATCTCCTTTCACTTCTTTCCTTCCTTTCTTCTACAGTAATTTGGTCGGTCGCATAGATTCTACCCCTGCCACCTCTCTCTTTCTCTATCTATGAAACCGAACACAGAGAAAAGAGTTTACCTAGTTTAGTTAATAGTGACATGCTTCAGCTTCCCCAGTAACGTCACTACCAGAAAAATGGGTTTTAGTGACCGTAGTAACGGTCACTAAATACAAAGAAAATCGGTCACTGAATGATTAGTGACCGCATTTGTGATCAATAAAATTAGTTAGAAAAAGGCTCATCACTAATTCCTGCGATCACTAATTGGTGACCGAATTAGTGACCGCTAAACTACGGTCACTTTTGTGACCGCAGTTTCGGGGTCACTAATTTGTGACCCCTTTCATGGAGTCATTAATTTGGGTCATAATTTGTAACCCTTTTCTAGCGTCACTAATATGTGACCCCTTTCTGGGGTTACTAATTTGTGACCGTAGTTTTTGGGGTCACTAATTTGGGTCACAATTTGTGAAAGTTACTAATTTCACAATTTTTATAATTCACAAATTACTCATTCACCATAAAATAATATGATTCCTATAATATACATTCATTATTTCAATCCTCAATCACCACAAACAAACATAGAAAATAATTAAAAATCATAATGCATGTAATTTTATATGTGAAATTGTTAAATAATACATTTACATTCTTAATATTCATAAAATGTGCTCTTGATAATTACATAGAGAACAACCCAGTAAGCTTTCCTCCATGCATTCCCTTCTTAGCTGGGTTCTCCTTCCAGTCTACTTTTCCATTAATGATCTAATCTGGTTTCTTCTGCAAAAATAAGACAAGAAAATAAATTAATTATCATTATAAAATTTCAAATATGAAATGAAATGAGAAGAAAATGAAGAATAAAGAGGTTTCAACTTTGAATAAATAAATTTGTCTTCTTCTCTCATTTATTTTTCAAGTCATTCAATTAAATTAATCAGTTTCAACCCTCTAAAATATATTCAGTGCCCATAACAGAGAGAATCAAAGAAATGAACTACCCACACAATCCCCACGTGGGACATCACTCCATCTTTGTTAAACAATTTTTTTAACAAAATTTTATAAACCTATAAAACTTGGGAACATTCACCCGTGCATTTGAAGGAAAGACTAAAACAAAGATATTGGATAAAACAAAGTTGTTTGCTAATCTTCTAGTGGCTATTTACAAAGGTTAAGCATAAAAACAGGGGAGAAGAGTAACCAGACTTAAGAAGAGACTAACTTACCTTTTAAGTTTCAAAATGTGGGAGATAACAGTTCATAGAGGAAACCAAACAAACTAATCTTCTTCCTTGACAGCTTAGCTATGAACTATAACAAACTTGGGCCATCTTTTCTGCTAATCTCTCTGCATTCAACTCAAACTTCTCACTAAATAGTTTTTTTTTTTCGTAGAAAAAATCATGAATTAGGGAATATGAAAACCCAGTTTTGGAATGGAGTGTTACACATAGGGTCTAGACATTTGGATTAAATAACTCAGTTTTGGGAAGAGAGAGAGCCGGAGGAGGGAAGAACTAAAAATAAAGAGAGAATGAGAGAGAGAGAGAGACAGAGAGAGAGAGAGAGAGGAGGAGGGAAATGAAATTTTGGGGGGGTTCCAAATTCAATAAAGACATCTAAATTAAACAACCCAATTTTGGGAAAAGAAAGGGCGGGAGGAGGGGAAAATTAAAAATAAAGAGAGGATGAGAGAGAGAAAGAAGGAAAATGAAATTTTAGGGGTGTTCCAATTTCAATAAAGAGATGAGGGAAAATGAAAAATTGAGAGAGTTGAGGGAAAATTTTAGGAAAGCAAGTTTTAATTTTATATCAGATTCTACGGGTTTCAGGTTAGTTTTTAATATTTTTATATTTTTTAGATTAGAATTCTCTCTTTTTGATAGCTTTTATCAAATTTTTTTGTTTTTAAATAATTTATAATATATTTCAATTTAAAATACCCACAAAATTAAATAAAAATATAGAAACTTAAAACTAAATATAAATTTAGTATTTAATTATAATGTTACACAAAATAGAATGAAATTTGATTTTAAAATTTGATTTGGTTTTTTAAAATTTGGTTGGGTTTGGTTTAAAAAAAAAATCCGAAATTATGGTTTGGTTTGATTATTTTAATCAAAAACCAAAATTTTGAAATATTTCTCCCTCATAAAAAATATTAATAGGCAAACCCGCATGTACATATATTTATATAAAT